AAAGCAATGGACTTGCAGTTTTAACAAGAAGTTGAAAATATCACTTTTTACCAAAAATGACAAAAATATTCACCAAAATTAGAGAATTGAAGATATGATCATGAAATGAACAAATCTGAGAGAGGTCTACCCAAGGTACATATACACCAAGTATCAAAGCATTCAGACTTGTAGTTTTCAAGAAGAAGTCGAAAATGTAAAACATTGACACGGACGACAGACAATCACTCATATGATAAGCTCCGCTCGACAAAGTCGACAGCGGAGCTAAAAAGTAAAACATTGACACGGACGATGACGCCGGACGATCACTCATATGATAAGCTCCGCTCGACAAAGTCGACAGCGGAGCTAAAAAAAGGCCAATATTATGCAAATTAGGAATTTAGGGTTGCCATGAGATGGACACCACTGGGGAAGAAAAAACGTGAAAGACCAATGACAAGCTGGCATAGGACTGTCATAGTGAACTAGAGAAGATGGGTCTTTAATGGGATGAAGCACAAATGAAATCAAAGCTAAGGATAGTATCAGTGGCATGATTTTACTACCTGTACAGCCTTAATGTCCCACTGCAGAAGATTGAAGTGACAATGTCTGAGATATAGGTGCACAGACACATGGAGATGAAATTAGAAGTCCACCTTTTCATTCTTAACTTTGGTCCCTGCTGTAAAGTTCACTATTATACCAACATGAATCATGTGCGATATCTACAGATCATTGTCCTATTGTCCATACAAACAGAGTTGCATAATTGACATACTCTGTGACAACTACTGAGACTCTCTACTTTCGACATTAACCAAAATTAGCGTCAACATTTTTTAGTCGCACATGATCAGGTAAAAGTCCTTGAATGGCGCTTTGCACTTCAGACTTTTACCTGACCTTGATCCCAAGAGTGGCGTTTAACATACCATTAGTTTAAAGCGGGGGAGTTGTCACCTGCGCATGCGTCAGATGGCCATAGCGTGTCATTGTTTACAAACAAGCGTCTACCCATGAGACTTTGCATTTTTAGTGTGTGTTGTTATCGTCGTTTGGGACTCAATTGCCGCGCGTGCGCAGGTGACACCCTCTCGCTTTAATTAGTAAATATTTATTTGTTGAACTTTCTCATCCTTACCTAACTTGGGTAGAGGAAATAGAACTCCCCAGAACTCCTCGAAGTATGATAGACATCGACTACCAAAATTTAACGCAAACTCCATAGCATCTAAATCTTGTTCATCTGCACACACACGGAACTGTGTAATGTATACAAGTATTAAATAAGAACCCTAAAAATTAAAATTTGCTGGCCAAGGTTGATCTGATGAAAATCTAATGTAATTTTAATGTTTATTTCTGAATGTTTTTTTTGCTTTCACTCATGATATGATATACAGCAAAAAAATAAAAACTTAAAAATAAATAAACAAAATAACAATTACAAAATTTATATACAAATTAAAAAAAAATACCGACAGCAGATTTTAATCAGATTGACCTGGTAGTCTGGTACCCGGTAACAATCTTTCATTATCTCCTTTAATTAAAATTTTGAAAATGCAAATTCACTTAACATTATTATTATTTGTTTAAGTTGAATATTATTTGTATAATGCCCTCGGATGATTGACATAAAAGTCATGAAACAAGAAATGCAACAATTTGAAATTTAAATTATCCGTTTTTTTTTTGGTGCTTACTTGGTATAGGAATGAATAGTATTGTTACATGACTTTTAATGAAATGCTTGTAATTTGAAAGTTACGTGCCCTGGTGTCTGATACAAAAATTGAAAACACTGTCCGATATTATACTTTTTCTTGTTTGTTTGTTACACTTTTTGTTTTGTTTTTAGCTTTATTACCTTCTACATGTGTAGAAACCAAAAATGAATTGTAAAATTTTCTTTAACGTTGTAATAAAGCAATATTCTATTCTATTCTAAAAAAATTCAAAAATGAGAAGCCGTGCCCCTTTCTCAAGATCCCAGGGTAAATTTGTTACAAAACTCTTTTATAGGTCACTGGGAACTCAAGTTCAAGCACATTTCATCTGTATTTAATACCCGGTACCTTGACACCATTTGGAGTAATAGTTTCTTTGCACTCAAAGTCAGTGACCACTACAGCAATGAGATAATTCGACATGACGGGCGTAGTGTTGAAATATGCTGTATTCCAGTCACCAATGGTTTCATTTCGGATATTCGGCATATTAGACAACACGGTAGATCTACGTATCCTGTGTTTGACCGCAATATCAAACGTAGCTTTCAGCGCAGGTTCATCAAAGCAAGGGAACACTCTACGGGCATCAGTGTATTCAAGTTGTGTGCTGGCGATATGTCTAGATTTAATCAAACAATATATATATATATAATACTGTACATAGAAACATAATACCTTGATATTTGAAAATATTATGGTACACATCAATGTTGGATATATTAAAGGCATGTGACTGCCCTGTGTGATGATGATCCCACTCATCATGAGAAATGCACACCACAGCTTTTTTTTTTATAAGGTTTTACGTCAAAATTATGGAAGAAAAAAAAAAGAAGGAAAATTCAGTTTTGATCAGAACAATTATAAAAGCACAAATTTAATGTAAATTTGTTAATAAAACTAAAAAGCCACCACATTCATTTTTGAAATCAAATATTGCTTTTTTAAGAGAGAAATTGCACAAAAGACGCTAAACTATGTCACTAATTGTCACTGAGTATTAAAGTTGTGAGCAAATAGTTCTTAGAGAAAAACACAGAATCTATACTGCATTCTTGTCCAGTATCAAGATCTTTCCTTGGTTATAATTACATATAAGCAAGCATCCATGGATTTCTGTCATGCTCAAGGAAGATGGCAATCATTAAAACATACGATAAAAATATTGGATCACAAAACCACCAGTACTTAACAATAAAGCAGGAGTCAAATATTTGGGACCATTTACAAATTATTTTTAAAGTAAAAAGAATTTTTTTTTTCATGAATTGATGCTTTGATAGGGATTATTATTGTTTCAAAAATGTTTTCTTCCAAAAAAAAATATTTTGTACTGGATAAACGTAAAAAGTGTCCAAATTCAGAAATATGTCACACATTGAGACCAGCAATTTTGATCCTTTTTTTGTCCCCATTTTTAAAGTGCCACTGATGTAAATATACATGTTATTTCTCCTTACCTTTATATTTATGTGATTTTTCACTTGAATATATTTTCAGTTTGCCCATATTCAGCTGAGATATTGAAACTTTTATTTTTTGCTGATATTTTTGTGGACATTTTATTTCAGTATATATCTGCTTCTTTATAATGACCTACTTTGGTAATACTGATTAAAAAAAGACTACATCAGCAGGTAGGTTATTTTGAATTCTAGTATTTGCGTTTAACCTTTTGGTTTATCATTCAGTATGTTTATTTTTAGATACAAAGTGAGAATTTTTATTAATTTGTCCAAAAAAAAACTGTATTTGCAGATCTAGTATTTCATACAGAATTTACAATTTAATATAAAGTGGAAATAAAACATATCTGTAAAATAGTCACAAAATGGAATATGGTGATGATTACTAAAAACAAAATCTTTGTTTTTGAAATTCTTCAAGAGGCAATCATACTTTGCAATTTTTATTTTCAGTTTCTGAATAGTAAAACTTCAAATTTGAGAAAGAAAATGAAGAAATGGCAAACATTCATACACAATGCCTTTTTAGTTGTAAATGAAAACATGATATGTAATCTTTTCCACAATTGATCTCTTTTTTTATTAATTTATTTCATTCTTTGTTGTTATATACTGATAGAAACATTCTAAAGATGCAATAAATTGATTATTATATAATTATTAGTTTAAGTGAATTTCTAATAAAGAATGATATGTCATTTTTACTTATTCGATTTTTATTGAATTTCTCAATTTCATAATGACAGAAAAAACAGAATTATATCGTAGACAATGAAATACGGCAACTTTGTAAGTCTGCATTTGTGGAATAATATTATGACTGATCATTGTGAAGGCCAACGCTATTGGCCAAATGTGGGAAAGTTGAAAATGGGTGCCCACACGTTTTTGATGAAAATTTTATCTTCATTGCTAGAAATTTCCGCGAGATTTCAAGATTTTATGGAATTCGTGAAGACAAAATTTCCTGAAAGTCACTTACACTATTCCTCTTTGAAATTTTCAGTTACAAAATTTCACAATTTTTACTAATTTGTGAAAATTCATGAAAATATGTTTTTCGAGACATTAAAACAGTTCTTACACTATGGCGCAAAAACTACTCCTCAATCATAAAATTCTGTGCATGCAGTGAAATACTTTAAACCACTTAATTTTTCATCACTACAAATTTTTGAAATTTTCAAGATTTTATGACTTTCATGAAGCCATTATTTCGCAAAAGTGACTGACACAATGCCTTGGACCCAAGAACAATTTTCGGTACAAAAATTTTCAGAAAATCAGAAAAAATTGCCAGAATCATTTTGAAATACTATGGGTATGTATAATAAAAGATATTTTCAATATGGCTATTTAATATTAAAATAAAGTACTTGCCTCGTCTCACCATTTGTTACGTAAGAACTACGGTAGAATCCAAAGGTTTCTTTGTGAGTTTTAACAGTGAACTTCGCAAAATAATTCAGATTAATTGAGTACTGGTGACCAACTGTTAATGCCTGGTCCAACACAATTATAAAGAAATCATATTCAACGACTGTTTTTGTTGTAACTACTGAAATTGGTCCGTCCGTTTTATTAGTACTAGAACATCGGATGGCCCCGACATCGATGGCCAGATTTAGGGAATGGAGGGTGATTGTGTTCGTGGCTTGTAGACAGTGTAATAAAATTGTCACTTCCCCGTCAAATTGAAAACGTTTACTACCATCGTCTTCATCCAAGTAAGGCGTCAGTTGAATTTTATAGTTAACTGGTTTGACCTCCATTGGCAGGCGGCCGTCGAAGTGTTTCACATTGGGTGGATGTGGAAGAGCTGGCAACGCGGAAGTTTGGTGGTGATCGCTCCACACGGCGAAAGAAATGAGCGACACTACAAACAGGAATATTACCATAGTGATGATAAGAGCTGCTTTACAAGAGGTTGCGTAACATCCCCTTCTTGTTATCACGCATTCATTTGGTAGTACCCTTGGGCGAAACAGATCGCGAACAGTCAGGTTATGGGGATTATTGCAATCACCCACGAAATCGCCGCTCGGATGGTCGACCAAGGTGACACACTCTTCCTCCTGCTCGATGCCACCGCCTACGTCAAATCGAAATTCTGCGTTCTCATCATCTGAGCTTGGGATTTCCATGCAGTCTATACTTTCACACGAGGCACATTTGGATTGAGAACATGAAACGATCCATTCAATATCAGCGCTTTCACTGTCGCAAGCACAACATCATGAGGCGCCACCAGATGAAACTTTTGCAGCGTGGAGAAAAAAAAAATATTTGAACGACAGAGGGCGCCCTCGTTTCACAACATTCTCGCCTAGCAAATACTAGTAGGTAATTTTAATTCCCCAAGTTTAAAGGTACATTTCTTTTTCTGCATGAAGTTTCTTTCTTGTATCTATCAAACATCTAATTATTAACATTCAATATTCCAGAAGAACTGAAAAGTGATGTTGAGATATTTAAATTCAAGAGAAGACTATTAATAAGACAAGTTGGTGAATACTTGTACAAAATATTTGAAATCAGGAATAATATGTTTTGTACTTTATTACTAATATTTTATTGCTGCAAACCAATGGAAATTATTATTTTTATTATAACATGAGTTTTCTATTTTTTCTTGTAATTTTCCCCAAAAGATTTTTTTTTTATTATTCTCCATACATTTTTTTAAATTTCCCATATCTTCCAGGATTTGTACAACTTTTTGCAATTGCATTAAGTATTCACTGGGTTTTATTTCGCTGATAAGTAAAATCTTCTAAATTAAATCCATGTGATCATGTAAATTAACAATAAAACTCATAATTAAAACACGGTGAATATGCCAAAACTCCAAAATAATGAAATTATTATATTAAAATGACAGTGAAAATAAATGGTTTTACAGTATTCTAGGCAATTAAATAAACAACTATGCATGTATTTTAAAATTTGATACTGTAAAAACCTTTTATTTTCACTGGCATTTTATCATTTTGATGCTTTGAGCTATTTCAATGAGTTTTAAGTTCATGATCTTGGCAGGGAAAACAATGAGTTTTATTATTTCACTTTTTATGTTACTTCTCAACTAAAATTACGAAATTCATAGAAAACATTCATGTCTTCCTGAAATTCACTGCAACAGTAAATATTTATGAATATAGATTTAAATTCAAACAAGAGGTTTTGATTTGCTATTGGGATGTTCTTTTGTAGCGCCCTCCATTAATGGTTTCACCATTTCAAAATTACAAATGTTTTTTTTTTTAAACATTAATAAATTAACTGTAAACTACATGCATAGTAGATAAAGGGTATAGGTCTCAGATTGAGATCTCAGGCTATATGTATTTTTTGTCAGGTATTTGTAAACTTCTTCAAAACCCCCCCCAAGACAGATTTTTTCGAAGCTACTTACAAGATTGTGTCTGATTGGCTAACCGACCCTAACAGTCGAACCAATCATAGAGTAGATTGTTTGTCAACAGGTTTTTTTCAACTTATCAAATTCTGCCTTGTATAAATGATTTGACTCAAGTGTAGAAATGTGTTATGCATAGGCACCTGACGCGCTTTCTCTTCCTCCATGGTATCGTAAAACATAGTACATCTAAAATAAATACATCTATGTTAACGACGAAAACGGGGTTAAAAGTCACAGATACACAATCACAATACACAGTTAACAATATTTTATTAAGGTTTCACGATATAAAAAAACAAAAAAACATGAAAAATCCCAAATCTGTACAAATACATGCATTAAAATCTTTGGCCTTTTAAATTTTAAAACTTTTTAAGTTAAAAACTTCAAACTTCATTTGGGACTGGTCAACAAGAGCATCAGATCATTCAAAACTTATTTTTCTTGTTTTTGCTAAAATATCGAACCATGATTTTTTTTGGAACATCTGAAAGACCAGATACAAATCTTTTTTTAGCCTAACCAACAATCCTTCCTTGATGTATATGAAGTTCTCAATCTATTTCTAACACAGAGGGTGCCATTTCACAGGAAGCATAATACAAATTTTATACTATAAAATACTTTATTTTAGCTGGAATTAATTTTCACTGAAATGACTTTTTATGTCTTTTGTATGGAGTTTATTTTCACTGATTTTTGGCGAGTTGAATGTAAAATATAGGATAAAAGATATATTCGCTGGATTTTATTTTTACTGAATCATTCCTTCAGGAAAAATAGTGAAAATAAAGTATGTTACAGTATTTGCCCTATTGATTGTTTTAAAATGTTCACCGAAAACAGGAAATTGAGGTGATTTTTGTTTTAAAGCAAACTGTAAAATGCGCATGATTTTAACCTGACAATCACCATTTTTGTAAAGCTCAAAATATTTCAGACATGAATTCATGTACAAGAAAAATAATAAGAGCAGTTGCCCAGATTTAGTGGAAAGATTTTTTTGTTCCAAATGAAAAACACAGTAACCAAGCAACCAAGGACTCAAAGATCAGTATCAAAGCAGTCAGGGAGCTCGATGCTAAGCACCCAGGGAAAATCGTTAAATGTCCCTTTTCTTTATTAATTTTTAATTATCGCTCACAGCTTAAAATACTTATTACAAAATTATAAAATGTTGCTGTTCAGGTTCAAGTACATATTAATATTAGATACCAATAAATAAACGTTTGATCAGAAAAGCAAGTTAAAAAAATATACATTTATGACAATAAAACATGCAAAAAGTGTGAGGGAAAAAAAAATTCAAAGTTGGAGCTGAAAAATTATTGTGAGTATTTGTGACCAGTAAATTCAATAAAAGTCAATTCCAGTGACCTTTTGATAATACAATCTACATTGAAGTTGTACTCTTATTCAAAAAACTTGATTGTTACATTGAGACGATTTGAATTTTTGCGAATTGTTGAAAAATTTGTAATAAACTAATCTTTTCAGCATGTCCAAGTGATCATGATCGTTTTGGCTTCCTATTTGATTGCAAATTTCCTTTTAAATACTACTAGTATTCCATCAAATATTCATTCAATTTGTGCAGATTCAGACCATCAATTATTCCATATAGTAGTCTAAAAACAACAATGTATTTCTAAGAATAATTTCAGCCTCGCAAAAAAAAGAAATCTGGTCAAATATTTTTTTTTTATGCTGTGTTGGTTAAAAAAAAACAGGTTGACCCATACTTTTTTCATGTATGCTTAAATCACTACACCATGTATTTTACATGCATTGAAGACGCAACACGGGACCCACATCAACTGGTCGTGTCTTAAAGTACAGCTATTTATATATCAGTCATATTGAATTTGTATGAACTAGATTATCTCCACAACAGAGGGAATTGACCAGAGAATAGAATAGAATAGAATAGTAAAAAAAAAAATCTTGGTTACAAGTAAATCACAAAAGTGTCTTTTCAAAGAACTACGTCTCACATTGATATACATATATGCATGAAATGAAACTATTAAAGTTGTATCTTAACCAATCTTTAAATTCGAGCAATATTGGGGAAAGACATTGTTTTAAATAAATTGAATAAAAATCAGGTACCTAATCTTTTTATTTGCCCTTTTTCATTTATTCGATGGGAACTTTGATCAGTGAATTATTACAATTTTTCAGCATTTTAGTTAGTAAACCAAATCAATACTAAATACAATACAAAAAGAAAATGTATTGACATATACAACTAATCTTTTTACTGATCATTTTTATATCTGTATTTTAAAACTTTGCTTGGGTTTGTTTCACGTAACCATGACAATGCAATACTACATGTAGTACAAATCAAATTAAGATTCAGTAAAATCCACCTCCATCTTCATTTCAGTAGAATACATATTTTATACATTTAAAAATTTGTTTATTATTACACAATATTCGCCATGTCAGTTTCTTTTTTCTCAACGTCATGACTTTTGCTGCCCAGTGAATGAGTCGGTGATTTCTCCGATTTTGAATTGTGTGCAGGTGAACTTTTCACAGATGACGATGATGCGACTTCTTCATAGAGATGAGGCTGTATTGAAGCGTCGACTTCATCTTCGCTCTCCATTACCTTCTCTGTTATGTTCTGACGTTCCCGCTGCTTTTCTCGTAAGTATGGCGTGGAAACTAGCATGAGTGCTCCAACCATTAATGCTACACCAGCAAAGAAATATGAACTGTTCACATTGTCAAAACTCTCATTCAAAAGATCTGTAAATGTGAAAAATGTGTGAAATTTAACTTTTTGGGCACAGAATTTTGGTGCGACATTACATTTAAAAAAATGAAGCTTGTTTTTCTTTGTTATTGGTGCATTTGTAAATCTTTTACACCCACCCGACAACCTACTGCTGTTTACAGTCCGATTATCATTTTGTATTTAATGGTAAATGTAGTCTGATTTATCAATTAAGTTTCAGTGGGGGTGGGGGGTTTTGGGAAAAAACTAAAAGAATTAAGTTTTTTATCCTACATTGAAATTTTGATGTTGTCCCTAACAGTAATAGCTTTTTAGGTTTGTTTTTCAGGACTCTAAAGCATTTCTCCTGGCCTTTCCAAAACACTTTTCAAATTCTAGAACTTTCCAGTATATTCTAGGACTATCCTTGGGGGGGGGGGGGGACATCCGGACATTTTCTACCGCCTGGCAACCCTCGCGGTGAAAACAAAGAACAAAAACTCGCAGAAAACGGTACTTTGCGATGGTTGTTGAGAGTCCCCTGAACAGCGTAACAAGATTAGCCCTACGTGTGTAACATATATGAATTTGGTTGTTCAGGATTACTTCAAAGTTGAGTTTGTGTTGTTTTCTTGAGTTTTCACCGGCTCCACCGGCGTTCCACAGCAGCGCGCACAAAGCACATAGAAATACGTGGTACAGTGGTGCGCGTCTTAGCAACGTAGAACGTATGTGACGTAGCTCCGCCCCCAAGGATAAAAACCCTTTACAAATACCGTAGACATTGAGAATATTTATGACAATGTGCGATGATGATCAGATCCTTCACGAGTTCATGACATGTGTCGTTTGAACTTCCCAATTAATATCATCACCAAGCACTTATCAGTGATCATGGGATGATTCAATTATAAAAATGAGGGAGAAAAATGCATGTACAAGCAGGAATGTACAAGTGAACTAGAAAAAAAAAACAGTCTAACCCCAAAACTGTCAAGTTTTTGCAAGGCACTAGTATTTTCTATTAATGTTTGTACTGAGATAATATTAGTCACATGACATAACATTTAGTTTTAATATCACACCAGCTGCCTACCCTTATCTTATGAACCCTTGAAAACATTTTTTAAAATAACAAATTCTTACCTGCGATTGGCAAACCAATGAGAGCACCTAATCCAAATAAAGGAAATGCCAAACCCAGGGCACTGGTCAGCCTCCAGCCATCGCGGATGAAATGTTTGATAATGACCACCATTAATGGAAGGTAAACACCACTCAGAAACCCAATTAATGCCGCCATGATAATAAATCCAGAATAGGAGCTTGGCAATGAGCTGAGTATCGCAACTAATGCCACTCCAGCCAACGAAAATCCGTACATAGACAACCTAGCTCTGAAATGCAACCCAATGGATAAGAGGCCATGAGCTAGCTCACCAAGAAACATGCAGCCACCGCAGACAATCAGAAGCCTCTCGGAAAAGGTGTTACTGTTACCCATGGCAAGAGAATGATTTATTAGGTTCAGTATGACGACGTTGTGACCGATACTGATGAAGAACATTGAGACGACCATCATGACAAAAGGAGGACTGTCGTAAAATAACTGCACATCCAAATATTTTTTGATTTGTTCTAAGTTCTCACTACAGCTCTCCGAGCATGTCTGGTCATCAGGATCAGTATCAGTTGCCACATCACTCTGGTGAGCTGGTGACTGACTGGCTGTACTCGCTACATCATCCTTTGTCTTCGGTGGCCTCAAAAACATGGTCAGAATTATCATCTGAGCGTTGAGATACGATAAAACGAAGAAAACTGATCTACGACCGTAGGTTTCGGCGACAACATCAAATAGCGGCGGGAAGAAATAAATGCTAATACTGGTACCAAGGAAGGCCATGGCGTTAGCGAATGTGTATCTTCGTGGGAAGTATCTGGGTACGAGTCCGAGTCCAGGAATGAGAACAAGACTGTATCCAATACCTAGTAGATAAAAGCATACAGTTTAGAGTAGATGCTGGGCTTTCACTGAAATATTTTTAGCAAGGATGGCTGATATAGTTTTTCTTAGCCTTAGCAAATAATTGTTTACTCATTTGATAAATGGCAAGAAGCTAACATAATACGTGTGCTACAAATTCATGTGACAAATTCAAATTTACTACTATCGTAAAATCTGTATTAGAAGCATTCCTAATAGGAGTCACACCCATTCCTTTTGAACAAATGAGAATCAAATTTTCATAATTTCTCAGATCTATGAATGCTCTAATAGAAGCTGTATCCCCTCTATTGCATTGTACCATTTTATTGTGAACCGCGGCTTCTAATACAGATTTTACAGTAATCATGTAACATGGACTTATTAATTAAACACATGTTTTTGTGATGTTTAAATTTACCAATCTGAGTGTAATGGCACTAGTTTCAAATTTTTACTCCCATAACCAAAAGGAGACCGGAATAGCAGTCAGTCCCATTTTACATTCAATTCAATTTGGAAATTAGTGAAAGTAAATTTCATACAAAACAGACAATGAACATTTATTCCAGACAAAAAGCGATTATTTTTTTTTGTAAAACTGTAACAGAATGCACCTTGCCCTGTTGTGAAATAATACACATCATATGCCTTCAAAAACTAAAATCATATGTGTTCAACCAGTGGTTTCCGGCTCTGTATTCCCGGAGCTCCAGGGAGATATTTGGTCTTCCTTGGAGCTCCACACTATATGGAAATTTATGCAAGGATATTTATGAGCTGAAAGTACAGTGCGGGACCTCGTTTTCGCAAGTAGACGAGACTAATTTAAAACAGGCTGTTTATTCCAAAAGAAATAAAATATAAATATAAAATTGTACATTTTTAAGACAAGTGGTACATTGCAGCAAGGTTTCTGGATGACCTATTTTTTGGCGTTGCATAAATCACGTGTTGATTTCAAACGCCCGAGTACACTTGTCTGGAGATCACAGGAAGTCAACTATCGGTCAAACCACAGAGGTCAAACTGTGTGAATATAATTACAGTGACAACACAAGTTCATTGAATTTTGCACACAGGCATTAAAACAAATGGAAAATGTCTGACATGACATGATTGGCTCCCTGAAATTTGAACCAATTCCTTTTAATATTTGTTTTTTTATTTCAAACGTCTGGTAGTTACTCTTTTTGTAAATTGACTAGATGAACCTGTTCATGTTCTGACAAATGCCTTAAAACTGGGCCAAAAACCACTGATTTTATTTTGATCACCTCCTTAAGGCAGTTTGAACCATACCCAAAGTGTGCTCTACTGAGCATGTTACTGCACATATATGCAATGCATTATGGGAGGGACACAACACAATGGAAAACTTTTATCACCATGGAAAATCACTAAATTTAAATATTAATTTTTCAAAATGTTTTCACACTATTAGGATTTATATAATATTATATTGCTTCTGTTCTTAATACTCAAAGGTAACATCAATGGGAAGTAATATGGTATTCCAAAATGCAAGTGTAAGATGGTAAGAGTGTGAACACTGTATACGCTCTGTATACTTTGCATGTCTGACATTTACAATCAAAATATTATTATGATTATATAGGATTACTCACCAGTCAAGATTCCATAACTAAAACACAAAAACCCAACACTTTTTGTGAATCCAGCAAATAACAGTCCAAACGTTGACAGGATGGCACCAGAAAAGGCAGTGAAACGGTGACCGTATTTATTAGCCAGGAAACTTGCCAATGGCGCTGAAAATAAAATAATCATTCATATTACCGTAATATGACATACCATATTTGTTTCACATAAATAACCAGAATGAATCAGTGCAAGTAAAAAAAAACATTTTCACATGGATAAGGATGTGCTTTCAACAAAGCAAATACAGTTAAGGACGACGTCAAAAGATCGATGTCGGATAAAAAACCTAATTCCTTTAGTTTTTTCACCCACCCCCCACTGAAACTTAATTGATAAATATTGGTCATGGCATCAGACTACATTCACCATTAAATACAAATTGTAATCGGACAGTAGTATTGCATAGCAGTTGGTTGTTGTCGGGTGGGTGTAAAAAGACTTTACAAATGCACCTCATTTGACGCACATATTTACACTCGGACCAAACCATTTTCTCGTCTTGGATGTTTTTTTCTTCATTTTCTGTTATTTCTGTCCATGATTGGATAGAAAAAAAAACTACAAATACTCCAAGATTTTTTTGACTTCATTAAAAAATAAAATCGTTTTTTTTATGATGGAAACTTTTTGAGGTCACCCCCCCACCCCCAAACTAAAGCAAATAAGTTTTTTATCCGACATCGATCTTTTGACGTTGTCCCTTATATACAGCGACAAATAAATGTAGGGGAGATACCAGAACCAAGTGACCTCGTTATTGCTTTGATACACCATACTACAGAAGCCATAAAGAAGTGTCATTTGTGTCATTTTTTTCTAATACAGGTATTTATATATAATATATTTGCTTATTAGAAGTGCATCTTTAAAAGAAGAGTATATAGACAAAAAGTGCATTTATTGTATTCTGAATCATTGAAATATGACTTCATAGAGAGAGAGAGAGAGAGAGAGAGAGGGGGGGGGGTAGCACCAGTTACGCTTGACATGCATTTTCCATGCGTGATCGACAACCCCTTATACTCAATCTTAAATCATGCGGGAAATGTGATACACTCTGTCCTACTGTGATGATAACAACAGGGTATAATGACACATATATAAATGTCTATTTCCCAGCAGTAAGTCGTGCATCTCTGATTATAAAGCTAATAATTAATCTACAAAACAAACCAAAAACATCATTTTGATACTAAATTTGTATTTCAGTCTATTTTATCACATCTTGCCAATTTCATACTCGACATGGATACAGCGTTAAATTTCAAATACGAATCGAAAATCAACTTAAATACTATACATAACAGTTAGAATGTAAAAAGCAAACACAGTAGGGGGGCTGAAGACTCCTGCCAATTCTTAGGAAATAACAGACAAAGGAATTTTGAAAAATGTATCACATCTGCTTGGCATAACCCTTTGACATAGATTTTTGACAGCTTTCAAATGTAAACATATGTAATTAATTTTTTCCCATTTTTTTTTTTTAAATTCTGAAGACCTGTAGTAAACGTGAAACTATGACCACTTGATCCAAAGTTAATAAGAAAGTTAAAGTAAAATATAATGATTTCTTATTTTGTTTATAAAATGTTTATTTCATTTTACCATTACATGTATAATCAATTTCATAATCATTTCTTAAGATTATTATACGTATGCGCATACAGTTGCATCAAGACAAATCAGTTTGTGCATCAGTGACGTGTCATATTGTCATACTTATACTTTGGACCGACTAAAAAGATATTTTATGGAAATCATAATGTTTTATGAACACCAAATAAGTGTATATCACATTTATATCGTTTTATCATCACTACAACTTTATTGACAATTTTTTTCATAAATTTTCAAGGCCATATATTCACCCTATCATAACTGTCAAAACCAAGGCATGTGATAGGTCAATATTATCGAACATATAATCAAATTATAATAATTTGTGCTGTGCATAGCCAATGCTTCACATCAAATATTCAATTTGTAATATATATCTTGGACTGTCAAACAGAGAATCTCGTATGCGATTCAGTGAATTGATGACATCCTAAGATGCTGAAAATTCAATTGCGAACAAACTACGAAACTTCTTGGGATGCTTGGCTACTGGCATGGTAAATGTCTTTGTCACACGCAACGTAATATTACAGTAATTGGTATAGTACAGGTGTGATGGTTCAAATACCAAAATGGCAACAGTAACAAAAGGACTTCCCTGGCGGCGATGATAACATACGAACACGGAGCCAACAGATGAGGTTTCAACTGGTACTGGTATTATTATACTCTGCAAACATCAAGTACAATAACGCGGTAAAACTCCACTACTCCAATAACTAGATACTTAAACTCCAATACAATTCAACGAGATCTCCGATCTGATCTCAGCGCTGAACAACTCCCCCATATATACCCACACTGTCTATAAATAGACCATTACATCAGCATACATAATGAGTCTGGAACTTACTACAAATTTCTAGAATGTTCCATTACCTTCTATTGCATCCTACAGTGTTCTATTACCTATTCAACCAGTTTCTAAAAATTCCACCCAGACACAGTACGGTTCTAGAACATTCTCAGTCACACGGAAGTGGTAAACAAGTCGTATGCGACAGTGGTGTATTTTGTCGTGTGATGTCATAAACATTGGGCAATTTTGCGACAAATTGTGCCTAGTCTGACGTGTTCATCAAAGTGTCGAACACAGTTATTTAATCGCGCTCAATAATTTTCAAATTACGCACACTAATTGTGCCATTTGTGATAATTGTATCTTAGAATTCAAAATGTGATACTCGGATTCTGTGATACTTATTTCCAACCGTGCGATTTCACCTGAAACGATTGACACTAACTATAAGGTATAATAACAGATTCGTTAAAAAGAATACAGGTGTTTTAAATAAAATGCTTTCCATGCTGTTGTATATTGATTGATTTCACATGTCAAAAAGATCGTAATTGTTCATTCTTCCATAATGATCATCCGATATGACATTCAGTGTTTCTGTATTTTAATTTGTTTCGCAGATCA